TTTTGTTTTTTTTTTTACTTAAAATAATCTTTTTCTATTAAATTATATAGTTTCCATTGCATGAAAACTCCTTTCATTATTAACAGAAAAACCCTAAGTATGTGTATTGTTTGAAGAGCTTTAGGGAAAAAAAACTGCATTAGTGATGAGTTTTATGATACTACTATATAGGTTGCATTCAAGGACTAAAAGTCTTGTTAGTGAAATATTACTATTAAACCCATTTCCATGAGAATGTTTCCACTTGAATACCATCAATTCAATAGATACTACTACAGAAGCCTCGAAAATTAAAAATTGTGTATTGCTGGAAGCAGCCAAAAGCAGAAGTGGAATAGAGTAACCTTGAATGCATGAAAGCTCCAGTTTTATATTCATAGCAGCTAATTATATGTTGGAAGAGAAGAAATCAAACCTACACAATCATGGTAACTTTTGTTGGAAAATCTTAACTCAGTCAGTCTGGGATTGATAGATAGAGGTTCAGTATGTACATAAATGTGTATTCTTAAGACTATTGTTTATAGGTTGCAACTAAATAAACTTCAGAATCAGCAGAGGTTATCTTGCTATGTGTTTTCATGCCTGCAGCATCAAATTATGGAAAACTCAAGAGAATAAACGTCAAACAAAATGGGGCTTTTTTGCTCTTAGATCTTTCTTTATAGGGTGGGTTGACCCCAGCTGGCAATTAAGGATCCAGAAGCCACTTGTTCACTCCTCCCTGCTGTAGGCTGAGGGACGCAATTGGAAAAGCAAGGTTAAGGAAAAGCTTATGGGTCACGATAAAGACATTTGTGTAAATCAAGGGGAAAAAAATGGCAGGGGTGACCAGCAAGTGATGCAAAGACAATCACTCACCATATGTCACCACCAGACTGATGCCGAGTGAGTGCCCAACCAAGAACTGCCTTGGAAAAACTACCCCCAGATTTTATTGCTGATCATGATGTTATAGGTGTGGAATATCCCAGCTGAGCTCAGCTGTCCCAGCTGCATCCCCTCCTAGCCCACCCCAGCCTCATTTTCTGGGGTTACAGAATGAGAATTGAGCCCTTGATGCTGGGCCAGCCCTGCTGAACAATGTGTAGAACGTTGCTGTTCTGTCAGCACTGTTTTGGTCACAAGGCCAACACACGGTGCCAGACAGGCTGCTGTGAAGAGAGCTGAGTCTGTCCCAGCCAGCCAGTGCATCCTAGAGCCAGATGAGAGGTGTTAGAGTAGAAATTCAGAATGGAACCACTCACCAGATCTGACAGATGAGTTAGGAGTTTCCTCCTTAAAGCTCCATTTGCTGTCAGTGTCCTTTGAGGGCTGGGGTGATGCTGTGTGCATGGATCAGCTTATCTGGGTTTGATCTGAGTGAGGGGTTCCCACTGATCCCCTCAGAGACTGCTGCTCTAGACAGGCATACATTTTACTTCTGGATACTTGTAACTTGCATGACAGGTATTTGGTATCTCCCAGATAATGGATTTGAATACTGGAAAACATTAGGCCTAATTTTTATTTGAAGCTTGCTTGTCCAATTGAAACAAATTTGCTTAATTTGCCTATTGAATACATGTTTACTGTACATGTAAATGCATGTTTACTATATATGTGACTTTCCCATAAATACTTAAATTGTGAATCTAGTTGGACATTTGTTTGCTTAATCTATGTGCAAAATAGTAGCACTAGATGTAGTAAAAATACTGGGTTCAAGTGTAAAAGACTGTTTTTAATGTTTTTTTTCTCTGTAACCAACTGAATTTACCTTGTATCTTCAGGTAGGAAAATGTCACTTGTAACACATGGGAACTTTTGTATGAAGGATGTATTCCTTAGATTTTGCAAATAATAGATCTTGAGTTAACTCACTTTAAATAAGTATTCTTGTGATCTGATTTTAAATATTTAGTAGGTTTAGGTTTATAGGTCTATAAGTTTGCTGTGTAAGTATAAAAATGAATGTATTTCAATATTTTAACATTGATTGTTTATTTTAATTACTCTGTTATGGAAAAGTAATGTTTTGTTTGAAACAGATTTTGTTCCAAACACATCTGATGATGAAAGGAGGTATAAAATAGGAAATCAGGCAAGTGTTGGGCTGTTTAATCTGAGCAAGCTGTTACAAGCTCTAAAACCTTTATTGGATCCCAGGCAAAAGCAGCTGTAAGTAATCCTTAAAATATCATAATGGGAGCTAGTGAGATGGGAGACACTGTAATCACCATATGCTTAGGAAAGAAAGGGATTTGCTTTTAAAATATTCCATTTTTTTTTTTAAATGGACATTGATTCTGGATTAATTATTGACCAGAATAAGATTGGAGGATGGGGAGAAAAGTTTTCGTTGGTCAGAAATAGTATTAAAATAGGACCGCAGGGAGGTATTAGATGTTGTGTCATCCTTTCTCCTTTCATTAAGGTAGGACCTTTGCCCATAGTTTTCTGTTCTAAGTTTGCCTAGCTTGTTTTGTAAGACACATACTTAGGAAGACCATGAATCCTCCTGAAGTAATGAAGTAGTATTTTAATAGCCTCTTGTAAGGTTTCTTACATGAAGAATAGATCCCAGATGATTCAGAATATCAATGTTTCTGAGAAAGCAGGCAGAAGTTTTTGTTGTTTAGTGTACAGCAGTATTATACTTGCAACAGCATTTTAGTTCCTTAGAACTTGACATTTCTTCTGTTTTGCAGAGCTTCCCAAATTTTGGAGGGGTATGGTGAGCACTATCACAGTCGGTATGCACTTTCAGAACTGAAACCTTCTAGTCACAATACTATAAAATATGTAATGTTCACAACTTCCATACTTTCTTATTATTTTCAGTTTCACAGAACTATTCAAAAGAAAATTGGGTCTTCTTGGGGAGAATGAGAATGATAACTATTTGATTGCTTTCCTCTTAAAAGTGAGTTTACTTTGCTAATTTTCTTGGTAGATATCTGAACTGGTACTCCTCATTGAAAAGCACTCAAAGAAGTATCTTTATTCACTAGATTATGGAAGATACAAAGGCTGATTTTACAATGACATTCCGAGAGCTGAGTGAAATTACTGCAGACCAGTTAAAGGAACTCCATATTCCTGAGGTATAAATACAAGCATTCAATCCTAGGAATACTTAATATAAAAAGAGTAAATCAAGTTGGACATAACTCTGATATAGTAGAGGCTATCTTAAGCTATGATTCATCTGGGAAATATGTTCTTGTGTTGTTATTAAGGGACAGAGGGACTAATACACCTGTGTCAGGCTACCACCCCTTGTTAAGCTTTTTTCTGGTAATGATGGATATGTTAATGAAAAGTGCTAATGAAAGGTGCATTCATGAAAAATGCTGAAGTCAGATTTTCAGCCTTTGGTATAGGTCCAATAGGAGTAGTCGTAAATACTCATACACAGCTAGGAATGTGATTTTTGTCACATTTAACAGGGGTCTGCTACAAAGAATTTTCTTCCCCTTCATCTCCCTGTTATTTGTTGCTTTGTTTAAGAATACCTTTTCTCCAACAAGTGAAGTTGCACAGGGCTCATGAGGAAAATTTCAGCCTCAGGTCAACCAGACTGCTCCTGACCTGGGCTTACCAGATGGCCTAAACCTCTGCTCTCAGGCATATCTGCTTATCTTGGTATCTAATGATAAGTGAGATTCCATCTCAACATAAACTCCTGCTCGAACGCTTTGCCCAGAGTGGCCTCTCCTCTTCCTTGAGCAAGAGATTGGTTTTAAATGAAACTTAATGAAACTTATGAATACATTTTGCTATTGTGTCCTGCTCAGCCTGCTGTCTTATCCTGTGTTGCTGCTAACTTAGCCTAAATTTACTCTTCAGGACCAAGTATAACCATATATAAAACACATGAAAGTATTTAATTTTTTTACCTGGATGTAGTGCAATCTTTGAAAGTGGAAATATAGTTGAAATATTTGAACAGGACTGAGATGCTAGGCAAGTCATAATTGAATAAAAAAGCAAAAGGGAAATTCTGAAAAGGAAGCTTATAATCTGCTTCTGAAAAGGAATCAAATCTGGAAAAAAATAACCATTTTGCGAGAGCCAAAATGATTTTTTTTCCTTTTATTCTTGAATACAGTGCCTTTTTGTTCATTTTTCCTGGGAAACTTCATTGCCTTCCCCAAACACCTGATTTATGTCTGATTTTGAAGCCAATTTAAAATGAGAGCAGGTGGACTTAGGAGGGTGTGTTGAGGCAGCAGGATGACAATGTAAAGCACAGAATGAAAATGAGGAGTTGATGGTTCTTTTTCCAAGTATAATTAAGTGGTTTTGAGCAAATTTTCTGGTTTTCCTTGTTTTCTTGTGTTAAGCAAGAGGTCTTTTTCTATGACCTTTTCCATAAACTTGAAGGCATTAAGAATTTAAAAGTTTAGATGCTCTAGAGGTAAGCAACAAAAAACCCAGGAGTTGTGGCCTTGGAATTTATTGTTTGCACAGGAGGGTGATAAAAGGATGGGTATATTTGTAAGAGAAGGTATTTTTGTCATAGAACCCAAAGCATTTTTCCATTTATGTCAACTCCATCTTCCCATCTTTGAAGGTGTTGGCTGAGGAACCAGCAGTTGTGGTGTAACTGTGATCCTGCTGCTACACCAAGGGTCATTTCCAGCCTTCACTTGGTAGCAACCTGATCTTTTTTTTGCCCACATAATGCAATTATTGAGCCCACAAATTCTGAGTTCCAAAACTGATGTGGAAAAACAAGTACAATTTTATGCTGGCAAAAAGTTTTCAGTGTTTTAAAGAATTTCAATTTTAAAGTAATTTCACCTCTGTTTATTTACACACCAATACTTTTATGCATAAGTTTTCTTATTGATTTGTACATCATTTAAGATTTTTTATGCTGCGTACCAAAAATGACCTAAAAATGCCAGAATCCTTTGGGAACAATGCAGGAGTCCTTATATTTAGTATTAACTGAAAACATTCTGAAATTCCTCCTAAAGCAGCCTAACTCTATACATCTTTGAACAAATGCATGATTCTCATACTCACCTGTTATCCACCTCCCTGATTCCCAGCTCTTAGTTATTTCTGTGCTCATTTTTAGGATCAAATATAGTTTTCATATATTTTTTACTCTTATTCCTCAAAAAAACCCCCAAAACCAAAACAACAACAACAAAAAAACCAACAAAAAAAACCACACACACAAAAAAAACCCCAACGAAACAGATGGGATCAAAACATTTTCTTCTTGCTTTAATTTCCCTTACCTTTTTTTTCTCAAATATGTGCTGTTTACCTCCTTTTATTTATGTCCATTTCTTCCTAATCTGTTCTTTCTCTGAAGTTCATTTTTTTGTCTGTGAGCATTGGCTGCTTTCAGCTGAGGAATATGAAGCAGCTGTTAGCTCAGTGTATTCAGCCAGGGAAGCCTGGTTTGTGTTTGCTGTCCATCACTGGAAGCAGTAACCCCAAGCTCTGATTTCTTGCTGTCAGCATTTTCCAAGTTCTGTCTCCTCTCCTGCTGTCTCTATTCTCCTCAGTTTTCAGCTATCTCTGTAGACTTTAGTTTCCCTTTTCTTCACCTTTTCTTTATTTATATCTTTTGCTTATTGCACCATTTTTGATGAAAAAAGCCTCTGAATATATCTGATCCATGTACAAGTCTCAGTAGAGAGTGAAACCTGTAATTATGTGGCTTAAAAATCCTATATGTCAGACAATAAGCCAAGGAAAAACAGGGGTGAAGTGCTAGAGGTGTTTAGGTAAAATTTTTGAAAACAGAGATGGATTCATGTGGCTGTATCATGCTAGCAAAAACAAATAATTTTAATACAGAGGAAAAGATACCAGTAGAATGTTTAGGGAGAAGATTCTTTGGAGGGTTATCATACATTTGCCTTTTAAATTTTTTTATTGTTCATTGTCCTGGTTTCATCTGGGATAGAGTTAATTTTCTTCCTAGTAGCTGGTACAGTGCCATGTTTTGGATTTAGGTTGTGAATAATGCTGAAAAGACACTGAAGGTTTAGTTGTTGCTGAGCAGGGCTTACACTAACTCAAGGACTTTTCAGCTTCTCGTGGTGCCCTGCCAGCAAGGAGGCTGGGGGTAGACAAGAAGCTGGGAGGGGACAGAGCCAGGACAGCTGACCCAAAGTGCCAAAGGGATATCCCACAGCACTTGGTGCCATGCTCAGCAAATAAACTAGGGGAGAGCTCGGGGGGATAATACCCTGCTTGGAAACTGCCTGGGCATAGTTTGGTGAGCACTTGGGGTTTTATTTCTCTCTCCTTTTGATATTTTCCTTTTCACTGCTATTATTATTGTTATTATTAAATTATTTCAATTATTAAACTGATCTTAACTCATGAGTTTTCTTACTTTTAACCTTATTTTAAACCCCAGTTGAGGAGGAGCATGAGCAAGTGATTATGTGAGGCTTAGTTGCCAGCTGGGGTTAAAATGCAGTATTTGTTGCTTACTTTGGTTTTTGCTTAACAGCTTAAAACATTATCTGTCAATAATTGTTTCTTTCTCTTTAGGAATTCTGGGCTCTCCAGGATCTGGGTAAACACAAATTATTTTCAGAATGGGTTACTATGTACCTCCTTAGATTAAACAGGTAAATCTGATTGCAGTTTAAAGTGTGCATTTGCCAGAACAAGGAAACTTTAGTCTGCAGACCCTTTAATGGGTCTAATAAACTGGCCCAAGCATGGTTTCATATGCCTTTTTTATTTTGTTGGTTCTTCATTGTGCTGGATTCAACAATAATTGCTGTTGTAGTTCTGTTTTGACACTCAGGTACACAAAAATGACATGGTAGCTAGGAGTAATTTCTATTCTTCATCTTTCATTGAGCATCTGATCCATTTTCTTTGGTTAACAGTTTTTCTTAAAATACCAATCCTACAGATTCAGTCCAAGAATCACACACAGGCTTTGCAAGTATATAGGAATGAATAGTGTTTGATTACTGATATTTATTTATTTATTTATTTATTTATTATATAATAACATTGCTTTATGGTGTCAGGGGATGGAAGCTGAACAGTTGCAAATTCACAGATTGTGTTTGGAAACCATTGTGTTTGCATAGATAGGAATGCACGGGATTCTTTTGTGTTAAATCAGTAAAGAATCTAACATTTTTTTCTTTGTTATATATGGTATGCATGGCTAATAGTACTAAAAATAAATACATATCAGATACTTGGAAATTTTATTCAGTAAATAAAATTCTTAAGGGAAAAAAGCAATACAAGGCACAAAACCTACAAGAAAGTGTGCAGTTTTTTCCAAGTCTAATCATTCATAGAGATTCACACCAGCTTCTGCCAAACACAAAAGCAGAGCACTTAAAGATTTTAATGGAAGTCAAATAAGATATTTCTAAAAATATATCAGCTTAATCCTCACTAGCTAAAGTGCTTTCTGTTTTTCTTCTTTTTGTTTATTTTTCATGTGTAGTTACAACGGTGACTCAGATGCCAAAAGAAGAATAAGAATGGCAAGTGAGTAAAACAATCCAAAGGAATCATATGCTTGCAGATGGCAAATATCTATTTACATACCTTTCTTTAGTGTTAGATATTTTTCTTTTTGGGTAGAACTAAAGTACAGTATTTTTCTGAAGAGGAGAAGCTCCCATTATGCTGCTGCAAATCTTGTCACACTATACATTCATTCAGTCTGTCTCTGCCCTTTCTACATTCTACAAAGAATTCATATTTCTGATAGAGACACACTTTTTCTTTCTGTCATCCAGAGGAAAAACTTGCTAAAGGACTATCTGGTCATAGAAAGCAAAGGAAGGTGCTTTGATTCTCCAAGTTTTTCTAAACACAAAATGGCAAAGGTACTGCTGTTAGGTATCACAGCAGAAACAATGGATATGAAACTCCAATAATTGTTCAGCAGGAGATATTTTTGATCTGCAGTAAGCTGTGGTAAATTCGTGAAATTTGCTTATAAGAAAAAATGAGCAACTGAAAATCAATGACCAAAAGGGAATAAAGAAACCACAAGATCTAATCAAACTCTGCACATGAGGCTTCACTGTTACACTGCCTTACAGGGTGCTTCCTGCAAAGCAGGATGGAAATGGCTGCACTGTTCTGTTAGATATTGATTGGCCACTTTCTTCTAAAGCTCCAATCAATTTAGGAAAATGGCAGGAGCTGGCACTGACTTTCAGTAATGAGGCAGTAAAACTACAGAGGGCACAGTTTATGGTTCCAGGTTTGCATCCCCATTTTTTAACAAAGGCTCTATCCTTTTTAAAGAACAATTCTTAAAATTCTATATGCATTTTAGAAAGTTAATATGAAAAGAGCTACCAAGAAGAAATATTTGTTTTTTGATAGGGTTAAGAAACTTCATCTGTGAGTTTCTGAGGCACTTCGCTCAATTATTGTTTTTAAGTTTCAAGCTCCTGTTTTCCTCAGCTAAAATTGAATGCTGAAAACTCTCTAAACACAGTTCTTATGCTTTTGTATCTTTTAAATCTGCTTTTAGAGAAAATCCTGACATCCTGAGGTTTTATTCGAAATCAGAAAGGATCCTAATTTGTCAATGGTTTTCTGCAAACCATCATTATTTTTTTCTTGATGCACCTCAGAGGACCTCATAAGTACACGAGACAGATGAAACATGGAAAAGGTTTTGCCTCCAAAATCACAGTTGTGCTAGTGGTCTTAGTTTTGGTAGCAGTCAAAGCTTGATCTGCAAAGGTTCACAGTTCAGTTAGTTTTCTTCCATATAATCAACCATCACTCTCTAATTATACTGCAGAGCTGCAAAAATTTATAATAGGCTATTGATGTTAGTTTGTTCTTGTTTTATTTAAAATCAACAACCTTTGTTGGACCTTTGCTAGCTGCTCCATATTACAGGATGACAGAATTTTCTTACAGAGGTTTTGGGATTTCTTTTGTTCTTTTTTGTATTTTTATGTCCATGGATTTAAATAGATTGCTTAGATGCCCCTGTGGTCTCTTTAAAAATTATTTCAGTTTTTGTTTTGTTTTTTTGTTTGAGCATTTGCTTGTAACGGTTGTCCTTGTCAGCACAACTTCAGAAGAAATCTGGTTCAATTCAGTCAACTCTGCATTTTTACCCAGCATTTCATGTTGAAGACAAATCTGTCCTGGCTCCTCAGATTCTCAGCTGGGTTTGGAAGTTCCAGTAAATTGTGTATTGCTGTCTTTGACTGACCTTGAATATATTGGCAGTAACACCTCATTATTCATCACCCTTCCCTAATTGTTAATAAGTGTCATAAAAAAATCTAATTTCTTGAAGTATGTTAACTTGAATCATTTGAAGTCATCACTTATTCATTTTTTTTTTATCCCTTTATTGAATTTTCAGTTCTTAGTAGTGTTTCATCTTGCACTACCTAAACTTAGTTCTTCTGGAGTTTATCAAAAAGTTTTGACAGACCAAGTCTAAAATTGTATTTCTTTACAAAAGCAGCATGTAAAAAAAGTCAACCAGATCATGCTTATAAGGGCACAAAAATTCTTTTGCTTTATCCTTTTCTTACCTGGCTTGTGTTACTCTTTAATAATTATCTTGTCACTTGTGTTAAATACTGATATTTTTAAAACCACTGTGAAACTTGTCAAATTGCAATTGTTAAGAATTTATTTCTGGGACAAATATTCTCCTGCTAAAATGACTCACAGCTCTAACGTGAATTACCATTTTTTGAATGAGTCATATATTAACTTTTTCACCTTTTGAAATGTTTTTTAAATAGTTATCATGCTTTACTATTGATAACTCATTTATTGGATTAAATCAAATACTTGGCCAGAGCAAATTGTTTTGCCAAGTGGAAATGCACTGGTTTTTAGCAGTTAGGGCAGAGTGTTGTTATGCCTGTGTTGAGGTTATCAGGATTCCCAGTAGACAGTTGTATTTGTTGGCTTTTTTAATACATGTAAGTACATACTGGACAGTGGAGATGTGAAAAAGAAGAATGTCTGTGGCCCCGTCTAATACATTATTTGTAAATAAAATAATAAATAATTGACTAAAGGAATTGAGTAGAGGGAAGTTTGAGATGGTAATTTTGATGATTCCTCTGTTTTTTTCAATACCCTCTTTCAAATATGCTGTAAGAGTGTTTATAAGAATATTTTATAAAGGTCTAAGGATTTTTAAAAATAAATATATAAACCTAACATTTATGAATATAAAACTTGCTGGGACATCAGTGGAAAGGGAAGGAGATTAAGTTTGTGTATGTCCATAAATCACAGACTTTTGGTTTCAAGTGCATGAGTGAAACACCTTTGGTATCTCTAATACCTTAATGTAATAAATGCTAACTGAATTGGGGAAAACAAATTAAAACTTCAAAGCAGGCTTGAAGTGTTACAGTCATTCTGTAACATTGTTTTGATCATTAGGAAAAACTTACTGAAGTAGAATTCTATGCCTTTAATTGCAGAACAAAACTAAGAATTTAATTTATATAATCTGCTAAAAAATTGATAATTAGAGCCATGTGTGCTGATATGAATTGTTCCTGGCATACAGTTTGACAAAACTCCTTTTTGAAGTTGTTAGTGGCTCTGCTGTAGGATATATACTGGTTTACTAATTCAGCAGTTTTCATTTTCCAGTGTTGCTACATTCTCTCTTCTGCTCATTAGATAAAAGCAGCCTGAAAGAAGGCAGGAAACAGTGCAGTTGTCATAAATGTTTCCAAAAGGATACAACAAACAGTTGTAGAAAAAACTGAGGAACCACTGCCTACCCCCAGCCAGGAGATTAAATTTTAAAAAGCAGTTTCTAAAAAATACACCTGAAATATAACATAAAAGGCTTTTATGGCTAAACTTTTGTTACATGACATAGAAGGAGTATCTATATACATATACTTTAAAGGATATAATAGTAATTACTTTTTAAATTAAATAATACAATATTCATTTTTGTGATCTCCAGGAAGGTATTGACAACAGTGAAATGTTTTCCATAAACACAGCAGGAATCTAGGCCATGGTAAACTCATAGCACTTGAAAAGCCTGCTGGTGTTCCTGACAGGAAATCCTTCCTCTATCAATGTCGTGTTCTGCGCTACTCTAATTTCTGTTTGTCACTTTGGCACTAGTGATAGTGTAAGTTTAAAAAATCCTTTAGCAACTCATAGAATTAAGTAGATTGATTAATTCATTTTCCTTTTTATGCATTTTTTCTTGATCTGCAAATTTAAATCTTCTTGAAGATTTCAGTGACATGTTTCAGTGACTGTTTTCCTTTTGTTGAATATGTCTAACTAAATTTAACATGATTTGCTCTTGGTTTCAGCTGTTAATCCTAGATACATACTTAGGAATTGGATGGCAGAATCAGCAGTGCAAAAAGCTAATTTGAATGATTTCTCAGAGGTAAAATGAGCTTTTTTTTCTTGACAGATTTAATAATAACTGGCATAACAGCTAATGAAACAATTTTTACATTTACACTTGAACTGTACTACTTTTTGACCAAAATTGTACTATATAACACAAACTGCTATTTAAAATACTAACAAAATTATTAATAGTACTAATTATAAATAGTAGTGACTGTATTAATAGTAGTATTAATAATAGTAAGCAATTCATGTGGTAGTTTCTGGAGCCAGGAGGGTGCATAAAGTGGAAAAAACTTTCCTTGTTTACGAGAAAACATTTGGTATAAAAGCTTACCCACTTTTAATTGCTTCCAGGTTGAGCTCCTAGAGCAGGTTTTACAGCACCCCTTTGAGAGGCAGGAGGCTGCAGAGAGAGCAGGGTACTCCCTGCGCCCCCCGGCCTGGGCCAGGCATCTCAGAGTCAGCTGCTCATCCTGAGCGAAATTCAAACAAGCAAGCAGAATGATCGAGGTCAAAGTTCAAGCCTTCAAATTGGGCTCATGGATCAAACCACAGGAACTTCTCTCCCTTAGACTTTGTGGACTGGAATCTGCTACTGTTCTTGACAAATTTATGAAGTCTCAAGATCAAAGAAGTGCATCACTAGGTATGGGTGCATCAGCAGATTATACTGCCATTGACAACTCTGCCTCTCACATTCAACTGTGCGTTACTTTGAGTTCCAGTATTTAAGTTCTGCCAGACTGTAACATTTAACCTCTCAAAATTAATGGCTGATCAGGTGGGTTTTAATAGCTTTTAGTGACTGATCAATTGAAAATCCATGTAAGCTAGTTTTAATAATGCTGTATTTTGATGATTTTTCCTCTTGCTGTTACACTTTTCAAATATAGGTGTGTTCTCCAGACATAAATGTTCTTAAGTCTTGCAGACCTGGCACAAAGCATCATCTCAGACCTTGACACCTTTTCTCATTCTGATTATGTTTTGTCCCATTAAACTGACAAAAGGTTTAAAGGAAATTCAGTTAAATAGTTAGCAAAGATATCTGTCTTGGGAAAGATAAAAGATGTCTGTCTTACTCCAGGGTAAGTTTTGGTGTCTTTGCTGGTGTCAGGTACCTATCCAGAGGACCACTGCTCCTTCAAAGTAGTAGAAAGATTATTGGTTCATAGATGTGAAGTCTCAGGAAAAATTAACTGGAAAAGGACGGTGTTGGAAGCATCTCAGCTGAAACTGCTTCCATTTCAGGTATGGAGGAAGGTTGAAAAGGACATGCTGCAATTTCAGGTATTTTCATGCTAAAATACGGTAAGGTCTAGTGATGTATAGACCATTTAGAAGGCAATAGTTTGGTAGAGGTAGGATTAATTTCTTTTTACAAACGCTTTGAATTATTGCATTGGTGTGGGAACTCAAAATGTCTCTCAGACATTTTTAGAGGTTCCAGGCCTTGGTCAGAGGCATTCTAGACCCTGGCAGACAACTGAAAAATAGCTGTGATTTTGAGTTTGAGCCATGGAATGAATTACCAATTTTGGAGGTGGAACAAGCAATCACAAAAGATTAGATAGTATAGTAAAAGTAGTTACAAAGTAGAGGGGAAATTTTTTTAGTATTGTACAGGGGGGGTTTTAACACATGTACAGGGGGGTTTTCAGTTTGTACATGGGGGTCAGAAGTTCTAAGATGGAGGAAAGTGGGCTAATCCTGTTCTTCCTCTTTCTTTTTCCTTGCCTCCATGTTCTTGGTGATGTTGGCACTCACAGATTGGTTTAGAGTAGAAAAACACTTGGCAACGTAGGTAGTAGGTATTGGGGAATAATTGTAAACATGTTATACGTAATATATCATATAAAAGATAGCAGCAGCCCTGGGCGGGGAGAGAGACGAAGAAGACAGCAGATAGAGAGGATGTCAGGGTGTGTGTGTGCCTCTACCCAGGCCACTGATCAAATAGCTGCAGTCCAAGAACATAATCTGTTAGATAACTAGCAGTAAACTGCCTTGAGACCGAACAGCTAAGCCTGCGGAGTTTTTCTTTGGAAGCACGGGTTGGAGGAGGAATTTCACCACCACATGAGATCCCAGAGCAAGGCCGGGGTTCTCATACATTGGAACATCTTTTTGTATTTTACAGCATATTTTGGTGCCAGATCAAGCCAGATAATTGTGTATCAACAAGAGACAGCTTTTTTCTTTGAATGAAGTTTAAATGTTGCATTTTAAAAATTCCATGGGACATGTACCTACACAAAATAGTTGATAGAGGTCTAATCATCACAGCATTTTACTTGATTTGTGGAGTTTTCTGTAGGCTTTGATTTTTTTTGTTTTGAAGAAAGTTCAAATTCTTTTGTGTAAGATTAAGTGCATGAATTATGATCGACTGCAGATGTAACATGTATTAAAATTGATTTTTTTTGTGTTGTAACAAAAGAGAAGGGAGGAAATAGGATGGGAGGCTGAGCATTCTGGTGAGAAGAGTGAATGCTAGAAAAGCCATTCTAAAAGTTTCAGTGTTTTGTGACCTTACTGTGCAACATTTTTCCAAGGACATGTTCTGCTTTATTTTGATGCTGGATGTATATTTCATAAAATTAATTTGATTTAAAAATAGTTGACTTGCAGACAGCTTTTGACACCTAAGTATGACAAATATGTGCACTCTTAATACCTAGTCAGAAAATGACACCTAGCTCTTCAATGATTCTGCATAATGCTTCCTTCAGTTATATATGGAAAGGGATTGGGAAACAGTAATCCTTCCCTCATTTAAATTTTTTTTTAGCTCCTATTTTTAACCCTCTTAGGTTGTTGGTATTTTTCCCCCTCCACATTGAACTGAAGCTTGCACTGGTCTTGAGGCATTTTTCAGTTTGGCAGTTTGAAGGTGCTTAGATACCTTTTGAATGTCCCAGCATGTCAATTCAAGACTTCCAGGTGACACTTTTGTTAGTGGTGGGCATAGTTCTCTTGGTGAGAGCTTTTTGCTCAGTTCAGCTGAAAGCAAGAAGTTGGCATAGCATTGTGGGCAGTAATTAGAGAGGATGATCTTTCCTTCTGTAAGATATATAACTCAATCCAAGAAGTTATTTCCAAATTATCACAAGCAATGGGGAAAACTTGTATTGAAATAATAAGGGAACTTTGGGCAAGGTACATTTAGGAGATGGGATAGAGGGGTGAACCTGGGCACCACTCTTTCAGGGGAAAGAAAACAGTGGAGCTCTGGTCTGGGTTTCCAGCTCCACTCCCTTCGAAGGGGAACCCCCCCCACAGCAAAGAGGAAAGCTCTCTTACAAAGGGAGGTCCTCCAACGGAGGGGCCCCTCCGGCAATCCCTCCCATCAGAGGGCGGGGGGGCCAGAAGAAGGACTGAGGGATTAATCCAACCTCTCCTCCCCCCCAATAGGGTCTGGCTCACTGCAGGATGGTGCAGGGCCATTGGGGGAGGGGTGAGGCTGGCAGGAAAACTTGGGGTGAAAGAGAAGGATCAAGGTGGGAAAATGGGATCCCTGTGGTGTGGCCAGCGCCATCTTGGGAGGGGGTGCCGGGTGCACTGCACCTCACCTGGGGAGGCACGGCCAATGCCGCCCCTAAGGGAGGATAACAGTGTCCGGCAGGGCGCTTGGGGTGGCTTGGCTGCTGCCATCCCCAAGGGAGAAGGTTTGGGGAAGTCCGTGGGGAAAAGGGAAGGGGGTCTTAGCAGAAGCCGAGGGGGAAATCTACAGGAGAGGAGCCTGACGCAGCTGGAAGCCAACAAAATGTGTGGATGTGAAGGGCCTCTCTCAGGATGTTAACAATTCTCCCATAGCTGATGTGTCGCCATTTACAATTCTGTCCCACTGGTGTCCTTTCAACCCCCCTTGCCCCCATAGCCCAGAATAGGGAGGAGAGGGTAGAAAAGGCAGCTTTCCGAGAAAGAGCTTTCCAGTATGAGTTACCCCAAAAAGACCGAGCGAGGTTGCGTCCTCCTCAGAAAAGAAAAAGCCTCCCAGCTGCCAGGGACATGCAAGCCTACAGCCCCCGTCTGGGCACGGATGGTGGTTAAAACTCAAAAAAGAAAAAAAGGTAGCCCAACCGCCCGCGAGGGTCCCACACCCTGCTCTGACCCAACTTACCCTCCGGGCTCGGGCGGTGAAATCTCTATCTCTCTCCTTGGTGGTGGAAAATCGCGCTAAACTGAGGACGTATTCTTTCGCAGTTTGGCTCTCCCAGAGACCTGGGTGTTCCTGTTAACCGGAGCTCGTCCCTGAAACTCTGGATTCGGCCACTGTCAGCCTCTGGTCTCCATTCAAGTGCTGTCCCCAGACAGGCCAGTGTTTGAGCTCAGTCCATTGAGCCACTGTCAAACTCTCCTCTTTGTCCTCGGTTAAGTCTACCCGGCTCCCGGCCCCTGCAGTCCGGCTGTCCCCGCAGCGTGGCCGCTCCCGGGCAGGTTAGAGAGCACGCGGCGAGGATGGAAGAGGTTCCGGAGCTTTGGGTTTGTTTTCCGCCCAGCACGTCACTGCTCTTAGTGTCTGCAGAGCTCTTTCGGCAGCAGAGTTCCTTTCTCTCTCCCCCTTTCACAAATTGATGGAAATAGCCATCTTCTGCTACCATTTGTTGCCGTGCAAGACTGGCTCCGGGCGGACGCCTGCGGGAGCACGGCAGGAGGAGGGGAGAGGCGGCCGCTTTTCCCCTTCGGCTCTGCGAGGCTCAGTTCTAGCGTGGGAACAGACGAAATGGTGACACGGGGCTCGGGTGCAGACACGTGTTTATTGTGGGAGACCCCGGGCACCGACCGAGGGTCAGTTATACCCCGTGCTGGGGGCAGGGGGGAACCTGAGCCGTGGCCAAGGGGGATAGGATGGGAGGCAGGGGCAGGGAAACCCCAGAGACCCCGGGGAGGCAGGAGCGGCGATGGGAAAGGCGGGGGGGGATGCAGGGACCGGACCGCGTGGCGAGGGGGAGTGATAAGGGAACAAAGGATCGGGACAAGGGACCGTGGCGGGAGGGGGAATGGGGGGGGAAGAAGAGAAAATTACAAATCCCGCAGACCAGAATAAATAAAAACCAAGTCTAGAAGGTATAGGGAAAAATTCTTAAAAATAGCTGAAGTTCCAGTTGCCAGTAAAATGGATGTTCATTAACTGTGACACTTCATGCAGATATAAAATAGAAGCTATTTTTATTTTTGTTATATTTTGATTTAAGAACTAACAACGAATGCTTCCTAAATGAATAGTGGAGAATTAAATGGGAAGAATAAATGAAAAAAAATGTAGGAGGAGACATCCCTATCAGATACAAGATAATTACAAAATCTTTAACGAGACATATCATTTCTAGGTACAGTTTGAAGACAAATGTTAACCAAGAGAAAAAAAATTCCTGCTTAGCATGGAAGCATATATGATTTCAAAATAAAATTTTTTTCTTTATCTAAGGTAACCAAATAAATGAGATTTCAAAGCTTCAGCTGTGAATGGTGACAGGTACAACTGAGTTGCATATAGAAACAGGAGTTTATAATATTTGGGGTGACACTGTCTGAAAATGGTCCTGGCCCTAACTTGCATCTCACAATAATCTAGCTGAGATTTTAATTTTTAAGGCACACTATTTAAAAAAAAAATAAAAATCATCTTTGTATTGGAAGAAACCCCCCCATAGTTAAGTTTTCTGATAAAGAATTTTTAAGGGCAATTCTGTAAAAAAGTATGTTCCTTCCCACTTCTCAAAATTTGTATGAGGACATTGTATTTTTCCTTTAACTCCAATTCATTAAAAGCAGCCAGAGTAGATCATTTCACTTTCTGAAATGGCTTGCTCCAGAGTGCTGCTCCACCAACCCAGGCTCTTCTTGTGGAGGCAAGCAAGACTCTACAGCTAATTCTTACCTTTGTGCTGGAATGGGAGTTAAGAGCAGGGGATGGTGGGGTGCAGGGGCAAAGGAGCAGATTGCAGGGACAAATTGGGGGACAAAGGGTGCCCCACCTTCTTGAAACCCACCAAAAGGAACTCTGAAGGAGAATTCCTCCTGGAGAAGCCTGAAGCATGACCTTCTGTGATGCCTCACAAAGCCAGCTATGTCTTAA